ATTAAAAAAATTGATCACGAAAATAAGCTGTGAAAGCCACAAAGAAAAATATGTCATAGAGCATTTAAAACTCTTTTCAAGAATGTTTTCAATTGGTACTAATAAATTATAGTAACAATAGTTATAGTTATAGTTATAATGATAACAATAATAATAATAACAATAATAATAATCACAGTAATAATAAAAGCAATACAAATAGTTATAACAATAAGAACCACAACAATAATAATAATAATAATAATAATAATAATAATAATAATAATAATAATAATACTTCTTATCTGAGTGACTGCAAAGTCGTGATTTTTGACCATGACACGACTTGTTTCAAAAACACGACCTCATTTTTGAAGTCAAATTTTATTAGTTTTAATATAACCATTACAATAGCTGTTAATAAATTTTATCATTAAAATTTTAGCAACGAAATTGTATTATTGTTTCAATACGTATATGCTACCCTTTTCTTTAATCAAAATTTTCTCTATGGCCAAACTGGCTTGCACATAGTTGAGGGTGGATTACTTTAATGTGACAAAAAAGTCAATGCTGCGTTAAATTGAGAACTTAACAATCTTTAATAAACTCCAAGGGCTTACTGTTCAGTCTTTTATTCAGTTAACAACGTTTCGACTGCACTTAAGGCAGTCCTTTTCAAGTCTGTGAGTTAAAATAATTATAATAAAAATAAATATCACAACAGCTACCATACCATAAACTACAAGTGTAAACAATAAAATAGAATAAATGAACTTACAAATTATGTAGAGCAACGTCCACTTAATATTAAATGATATCTATATCTGCTCTAATATAACCAACTGGCTTTTAAGCTGTCTTAATATAATCTAAAGTAGGACTAGGTACATGTAAGTAACGACACACATGAATATCGAAAGATTGTGTACATGTATAAAACGGCGTGAATTCAAACACACGATAAAACTCTGTTTGTACTTTTAATTATTTTAAACAATGTTTGACATAATATTTAAAAATTGTTCTTAAATTATTTCTGTCAGTAATCTTATTTACAGTATTTAACTTAGTGATATATACCATTTCTGATATTAAACGTCTGTAATAACAAATTTCTTGGTCGAATACTTGTACTGAATTGAAGTCGAAAGTGTGGCCATAATCTCTCATACGTGCTTACACTACAGACGAATCTCTCTCGTTGATACAATCGCGTTCGTGTTCTTTCGTTCAAGTATCAACAGTTCTACTAGTTTGTCCCACATAATGTTTATCATAATTGTTACACTTGAAACCATAAACGGAACACACTTTGTCAGGGGTGTCAACGCTATCTTTTCCTAAATTATTTAAAAAATGAAATTTACAAATAGATCTGAAAATTACTTTTATACTGAACTTATTAAAATCTTTTCTAAAAGTTTTATCACAGTCTCTTATGTATGGTAACACTACAATATATTTAGGTAAGAAATTCACATTATCACATATGGTCTCGCCAATAGATTGGAATTTAATTTTTTTCAAACGAACTTTTGTATATGTAGTAATAAATTCTATCGGATGGTTGTAAGCCTGTAAAATAATAGAAACTTTTTTTAAATTTTATTTGTAAAAAGATTCATCAGATAATTTAATGGCACGGTTAACCAAGGAAAAGACGACACCTATTTTTTTAAATACAGGTAAATGTGAGAAATAATTCAAATATGAGCTTGCGTGTGTATCTTTTTGAAACCAATTCGTTTTAATGTTACCTGAGCTATCCCAATGTAAAGTTGTATCTAGAAATTAAGTTAATAGAATTATTCTTGGGTTCTTCTATTGTAAAATTAATGTGACCATCAAATGAGTTTACAAGTTGTAAAATATCTTTGGTATTGTTTTTTGGAACATAAGCTATAATATCATCGACGTAAATTTGAATTTATACCAAATAATAATTTTTTTGTCTTTAACAATAAATATTACAGACAGATTTTTGGTTCTGCCATGGGATCGCCTTGCAGTCCTATATTAACAGAACTAGTCATGCACGATTTAATTAATGATTTACTTTTTACAAGCCCCATTCCAATTGCATATTTTAAAATTGACGTCGATGATGTTATAAGTCAAGAAGACTTACAATTTTTAAAAAGCAATAATATTGTTAGAACGCCACGTGTTATAAAAAACAAAATAGTTAATTATAAAACCTCTTCAAATGTTGTACCTATAATATAACTAAAATATTATTAAATATTATTTTCAAACATATTTTAATGAATGTTTGCCAACGTAATAAGTTTCAGAATTTGAAGAACCAAGTACAAGCAGCACTCCGGGAGTGCAGGCAGAAGTGAAAACTTGAACTTATGGCGCGTTAGGCACTTTTTTGGGAGAGCATTTTTAGGTGCGCTCGCAACATAAGAAATTGTACATGAAAAATCAAGTTTATCGAAGCAATGTGGACACTTTTTGAATGGACATGAAGTATAATAATATAGAAACTATATTCGAACGAAGTGGTTTTATTTAAATAATCAAGTTTATCAAAGCAATGTGGGCACTTTTTGAATGGACATGAAGTATAATAATATAGAAACTATATTCGAAGGAAGTGGTTTTATTTAAATAAGTAACTATTAGTAAATAGTAAATACAAAATTTATCAATTTTTTTAATACAATACCATAGCAGCAACACAAGTCAAATGAAATATTTAAATAAATAAATTTTCCGTTTAATATTTATTTATAAAATAAATATTAAAAAACTCTCAATCTCATCTGTCGCGAGGGCACAAACGAATGCCCATGCAAAGACAGCGCATCAGCGTTGGTCTGAGCGTTATTTCACGCTCACAGTTCATGCTTGATCGCACATAGCGCCGCTGACTGGATCCTACTGAGAACTACTTCGCGCGAGAATTCGAATTCAAAATCGTATGATTTTTTCAACAGACAGTAGGCGCGGAAATTCAAATTCGAAAGAATTCTTGGTATACTATTTATGTATGTAATCATACAATATTATCCAATATTTCTATCCATTAATTAGCCAATACATACCAAGATTTCTTTCAAATTTGAATTTCTGTGCCTACTGTCTGCTGAAAAAATCATACGATTTTGAATTTGAATTCTTGTGCCAAGTAGTTCGCGGTGAGATCCAGGCAGCAGCGCTATGTGCAATCAAGCATGAACTGTGATCTTGGAATAATGCTCAGACCAACGCTGCTGCGTATAGCATGCAGCGCTCTCGCATACCTATACACTCTGTGTATACATATAGGTATGTAATCTCGTCTGTCGCGAGAGCACGAACGAATGCCCATGCAAAGAGCGCGTATAGTATACATATATTATAAGAATACACGCGGAGTATATCTGTGTAAAATCTCGTCTGTCGCGAGAACGGCTGAAAATGCTCACCCACAAAAGTGCCCAACGCGCCACAAGAAGTTTTCACTTCAAAAAGAACTTAGTCTTGTTAACAACAAAACAAATTTTAGAAGAATCAATTTTTTTTATCATTAACTTTGAAATTTCAAAAAAATGCATGCCTTAGACTACTTTTTTAAAATAAATTTTAAGATTCTGAGAACTCAACATGTTTCGCAGTATCTCGAAATAACGAGTTTTTATTTTATTTTATTTCAATTTTGCGAGCTTGTAAGGCAGCACGCCAAATAACGAGCTAACCTCTGAACCCACTTTTTTTTCAACAACAAATAATCTTTTATTTTGTTTGGCAAATTTATTATTAGTAATACCATTAATAAAAGTATTACTTTAACAAACTTTAATTAGTTTTAGTATCATATGGCTTCACTTTGGGCCAAAAAAAGTGGTAACATCTAGTGCTCTGAAATTTTATATATGTTTCCATTGAGCCTAATTTTTTTAAGGATTTAAACCTGATTGTGATGGCCTGACTTTTAAGTATCCAGAAAGTCTTTTTTACTAATTTTATGTGAAACACTCTGTAGAAATTTATACATTATGAAATCTGATACATATATTTTTACAAATTTTTCCTATTACAAAGATCCTCTAAAATTATGAATGATTGGTATATGGAAGCCAACAGTGTAAATTGCCAGTTTCATTTAAAAATTCCTAATTTGCCATGTAAGAAATTACCTTTATCATTATACCTCAAAATGCCCCAACACTACCACATACTTTTATCGGGCAAGTTACGTACATTTGGCACAAAATATTAAAAAAACCTTTTTATACAATAATTTACATCCTGCTATTTATTGCTTATGTGATTTCTCTAAAAAAAGGGAGAAAAAAGGATAAGTGTGTTTTGCATGAAGTGATTTATGAAAGCTAGGTGAGAAGTTGCACGATGGATTTTTTATTTGACATTGTCAATTCATCAACTCATCAGCCCGTAGAGCAACGTGAACACAAAAAATGGGCCATTAGATGAATGGCAGAATAGTTAGGATCGTCACTTAATCAAAAAAAAAATTTTTTCTAAGTAATAAGCAACTATGACGTTCTTGTGATAAAACAAACTGTGTTTTAATAAATTGTGTATTTTTTAAAACACTCCTAATCTTATATCTTCCTTCATAAGTATTTATTACAACGAAAATAATAATTGCCATTTATGTGGTAACTGATGACTTATAAAAGAGATGAAATCAGTAAAAAAAACTTTTTTGCCGATGGTGTAAAAAAAATTTGAACTGAATTAGGGTTAAGAAAAATTTTTTTTAAGCCACGCACTTGTAAACGAGCTCAACGGTGTTCAATTGACCATACATCTTAAGTATTCCACGATCACAAGTAAAAATTATGAGTAAAACGTTTTTTAGCATTGAAGAAGTTCCATTTTGTCTTTATTAGCTTATTAAAGTGCAAAAACAATTCTTACTTACATTCAACTTGAGTTTGTCAAATGATGTGGTTGCACTTGAAAATTTAAAAGTATTACCTAACAATGCTATTAGCATTATAAACTATCTATTGTTTTGACTGCGTTTAATTTATTTTATCTATTTCAAGTGCCATGCTTACCTTCACAAGTAAACTGCCCATAGTGTTTTCCACTACTTTTGTCACCACACACAACACATTCAACACTTGAAGACTTGTCCGTTTGAATATTTATGGAACTATTTGTTTGATTCACATGTGTAATACTCAATTGTAATAAGTTCCCATTTGTAATTGCAGAGTCAGAATTTCCAAAACATGATGTATCTTCCAGCAGCGATGTTCGAGCAAGATTGTTGGATGATATTACTATCGCAGATCTATTTGGATTACTGTATCTGGAATGATTTTCTACACAGCTTATTGGAGTTACACTATCTCGTGAGGTCCATACAGATATGGGAACTACCATCGCCATAGAGACGGTGATAGCACGTGCGAAAGCTGTCAGTCCAAACGAAAGACGTCAGTTATTAATAAATTTTTATAACAATTTGGTTACCACTAAACATAAATTTTTAAAACTGTTCTGAGGATAACAAGATTTAATTAGTGCAGTGATGCGTATAAAGCAACATATCTGTAGTTGGATACTGAAAGTACATACAGTAAAAGCTACATTAAATTATTTTCTTTAAGTCTTGATTTTATTATAAGCCTTTTCTTAGTCCACGTAATAAAACTATTGAATAAATTCTCACTTAGCGTATAAGTCATATCAAAAAAAAGTGTCAGATAAACTTTTTTCTAAGATTCCCAATATAGTTGTACCATCCACAATATAACTTGACAATAAGGTTTTACCTATATATTCAATCAGATGCTTTAATATAAACATACAAAATAAACACGAGCTAAAACTATAAGCTTATTTATCGAGTACATTAAAATAAAATTTACTACACTTCTACTGTTCGTATCGTCTTAATAATAACTGCAAGCACTACTCGACCCTTGACATTGTCGTCTTGCACTACCTCTCTTACAGAAATATTCGCTGGTTTTCTACGATAACGTGTATCCATGGTTACCAGAGGTGGGGTCAAAAAAGAGTCAGGCCCCTCCTTTGCTTTGATTGGCTAAAAAGGTTTCTATGGATATAATCTTGCAAAGGGCCTTGGAATGGTTGTATAAATGACATTATACCACGTGTATTCTTAAAAGAGGGCTTTTTAACACTTTGTACAGCTTTCGAAACCATGTTATAGTTTATTTTAAAAATAATGTGTTCTCAGAAGTTAGAGCCACGAGGGATTTGTTGAATTATATTAACAAATTAGTGTTTGTATACAAGAAATTACTTTTAGAATTCTTGAATGACATCAAAAGCTCTTTTTACATAAAAGACTACTTTGGTTCCATGAAATATATTTTAGTTAGTACATTTTATTAACCTTTTCACATTTATGACTGCTTCGGTTACATAAAAATGTATATTAATTTTTCAATATTTTTTGTTATTGTTCTATTAAAATCAAATAATGAAAAAAAAAAGACAATTCAAAGTTGGTTTATTTCTTTATAAGCCATGTAAACCATCCATACATTTTTAAAACAAGCATTTGTTACGATGTTGATCACTGAGTGACTTCCTCAGTCTTGTTTACTGCTAAAATTTCAAATTAATGTTTACTGAATGTTGATCATTAATCACCGTTATGTTGTTATTTAGTGTCTAAAGTATTAAGAAATTTCATAAAAAAAAAAAAAAATAAAAAAAAATCGATTAGATTAGCACATTTAAGTAGTAACGCACACGAAATATTGTACTTGTCACTTTTTTTATTCATAGTCGAAATAAGATTTTTTTGTAATATTAAAGATCATACAGTTCGTCCAAGTTCCTTACCCTTAAAAATTATTTTAATTTTTCAGTCAAAAAATGTTAGTTTTTATGAGAAGCTGAAACAAAAACAGCATCTAGTTAAATATAAATAAAAAGTGGATGGTTGTTGCATGGAATGTCTTCAGTTACTTTATTCTGTATTTTTTGGAATGACTTTTAATTTATCTTGATCAGCAGAACACAGATCTTTTAAGAGTTCTATTGTTAATTGAATGGAATATTTTTTAAAACGATTACGAACAATTGCCTTTTAGGTAGATAAAAATGTACTTTAACCTTATAGACTCTTTAACACATCCATGAAAATTACTTAATTTAATTCTTTTGCCACTTGACAACTCTTGAATCATTAATAAGTTTTTGAAAACCAAAAAAAATTTGTAAATAAAACTGACAAGGGGTTTAATTGATTAAAATTAAAATACTTTTCAACCTGATAACTTTTAACGCAAAGAATTTTCAGGACTTCACTTCTCTTTAAGAATATTCTCGGTGAATACTTATTAATTTTGTAACGAAACTCGTGACTCAGAAAGATGCAATAAAAGTATTTAATACTTTGAGTAATGTCGCAATGAAATAACATAAAAAATATAGCAATTTCTTGTTATTAGCATTAGACATATTTTGTTTTGCACTGCCACTTTATAGCAGCATCTTTTTATTTTGTACAGCTATAAGTATGCGAGTAGTTAATATCTTTTTTCACGCCACCCATGAGACAAACATATCGACTTTGTAAAAACATACGTTCTTTGTCAAAAGACGAACAGATTGACTATTAAACTGGATATTGAGTAAATGTAATGATTTAAAACGTAACTACTGTGTATAAACACACTTTAAAACGTTAGTATTAAAATATAAAAAAAAGAGTAATTTTAAGAACAAAAAAAAAAAAATTGAAGAATTATAATAATCTTTTTTTTTTTATTTAAAACTTTTTTTCTTTTGTTCAAATGATTTTTACTGCCAATTGACATTGAATTTTTCTCATTATTCTTTCATCTTGATCATGCAACATCTAATTAACCCACCCCCCCCTCTCCTTACACATAATGTACACAGTTCTCTTTGCTAGACCACTAATATTTTAACCAATGATGTGTTAAAATATATCTTTTCCGCCCTCGGGTGGTTTTGGGAGGCTGGTACTTCCTCGGGCGAAAAAGCAGTTTTCCGGAACTCGTTCGAAAAGTCTCCTTTACGAACCTCGTTACGTCCTTCGCCTTCAGCTCAGGCCGCAAACCTCTCGGTTCGAAAACAGAGACTTTTCAAACTCGTAGGAAAACTACCATTAATTAAACAGTTTTTACTCATTATTATTGGCGTCAAAATGTACTAAAACACAGTCAAGAGAAACAAAAATTTGTTAAGTACGGAAAATAATGTATAAAAAATAACTCTTTTATAAAAAATACTGTGATTATTAGGCACATCCACTCAAAAAAATTTTACACTTTTTTTTTATTAAAAAAATTTTTTTTTTTATGCCCAAATCCGCTCCACTAATATTGTAATATTTGTATGTTTTCCATGCTTTTAAATATAAGTTCATCATCGTATCATATAAATTGACCACAGGATAAGCTATTAGAGCTCGTAGGTAACGTGCAGGTGAAGTAGCGTACCAGGTTTTTGTAGTACACCAGTAAAAAGCAATTGAAAAGGACAAAGAACAACCCACTAGCCTCCCTTTGCAAGTACAAGGAGCTACAAAAAGACTGAGGTCCATTGTTTTTTTAAGAAACAGCAATGTTTAATTCTAGTTTTAGATTATCTGCCTAGCAGGTCAATTGTGCCAGTTTTTTAGAGATCTCAGTTAGCTACTGGCATATTACAATATCCTTAGTGAGGCGTTGTGTGCGACCTTTTTGCACACACACTACGCTTGTATTTATTTTCCTTGTAACTTTTAACGATAGCTATTGAAGTGTAAGACTTTTTTTCTACCCTTATGATATTATTGATTATCATTTTAGTGTAGAACATCTATAAATAGCTGTAGAACTGCTTAATCCAAAAATAATCAAGGTATATCATTATCTCCTTCCTTTACAGAGCAAATTCTTCTTATTTTTAGATTGGTTTAAGTCTATTTGTACTTCGTTAATTAATTTATAAAATATATAAATTATTTGGTTACCACAAAATTTGTTACGATTTAGTAAGTAATTTATAAAATAATATCTATGATACGTATATGTTAAGTGTAAAGCAAAATTATTTTTTTGTGTATCGATTAATTCGTAAGTTATGCTTATGGGCACGGGACTCGATAACCCTTCCAAACTGGTTTATTTTGGTCGTAACTTAAATAATGTCAAGCACTTCTACTCCTTCCTCTGTCTCTTTGATGCTCACACATACTTAGAATATTAGTGTGGTGGACATAGAGGTTCTATATGCTTAATAGATTAAAAAAGCAAGAGTGAACCATAACCTGCATGATTTTATAATCTATGAAAAAAAATGACTCTCTCGGAAGCAATAGAAAGAAATAATGTTAATATTTGTGTAAATTAACTAGATAGTTATGAAATTGATAAAATACAAGATAAATAAGCAAGTTACTAAAGTCATACACGTGAAAACCAAGGATATAACATTAATAATAACAAAATAGGTTTGTTTATATATCAATATTTATTGACTATGATGGTTGTTTTGATAATTTGGAGCTTATCTAAGCTAGTTAAAATATTGAATTAATTTTTTTTAAACTTTTTTTAAAAAACAAACGCCTTTTACTCCAAATTTCCTAGATGTGTTACTTGATACAATTTTTGAATAATTACATTATCCTGATTGGGGTTCGTGCACTAATTAATACATGTTAAATATGCACCAGTAATGGTTTGGCAGCTAGCTAGGATCTCTTGACCAAATTGTAACCTCTTATTAAATACAAAAGTTAATCTATAGCCTTTTCTTTAATTTTTAGAAAGTTTGAGCTCTCTGGCAACTGGAATTTTTCATTATGATAGGACGTACATGTTTTTACTTTATTTTATCCTTTTCTTCATATACTGTTAAACAAATATATAGTACACCACAAGTTAAACCTAAGCTAATCAGATCAGATAAACTTTGTTTTTCGATGTAAAATGTTTTTGACTAACGAAATACCATCTGTATTTGCTAGAATAAATTGCAGACTGACTAAATTTTTTCATTCTGGAAAAAAAATCCTTGTAAAATAAAGTTCATCGCTAAGTAGACTAAGTGCTTACTATAATATTGCAACTATTTTCACTTCTTTCTTATTTAGAAAGCTAATCATCATGCACATAAAGCTTACTGCATACTCTTAAGTATGTAATTGGTTTTTCAAAGATAGATCTTAAAAACATTAGTGATGTGCTGGGTCAGCCATGTTATTACGCAAGCTTATCTGCACTCCCCCTATCAGTGCCAGACTATTTTTCCTCATTTAGGACTCTAACAGGTTTCCTAGAAATGGTAATTGTTATTGCACGTACTGATCAAAGCTCTCTCTACTTGTGTCGAATTCATTTTCTCATGTCAGACTAGCTTTTTCCAAATAGATTAGTGCACAAGATATTATTTCCTCCTGCAGTAGTCATAGTCATGCCGGCAGCTAGGTGCATAGCTTTCCAACAGGAGCATTTATACTGGATAGTCAGAAGAATGCATGATCCAGCTAAAGTTGGTGATTCCAAGCTTAGTTCGTGATGTTCAGGCTGCAGATGCTTCCCTTGGGGTTGCTTGTCAGTATCTTACCTAAGACAGCTTATGAAAGCTGCTTTAAGAGGATGTTGATAAGAAATCAATGATAAGAAGTATGTTTTGGTGTGATTTTATTAATACACATAAAATAATATTTATTCTCATATCAGAAGGTGAATAAAATTTGTTAGCCATCGTCACCGATTTTGTTCGACTCTATGAGAATCGGTTTTTCCAACCAATTCTTTCCAAAGAAAATTGTAAGTTCTTATTAAAAAAGTGTAGGAGCTAATGAAACTGTTTACTCATCGCTACTGCTGCTGACTCTGCAGCTGATATGACTGCTGTAAAAGAAAAAGATTTTTGTTTAAGTACAATGTTTTGAAACATCTAGTAAGGGACTCTC